AAAAAAAAAACTTCCCCCAATTAAACATGGCCAAGAGATTCTGCCTCTCCTCTAGGCAGTTTTGAAGCCTCTGCAAGTGGTTGTTTGTCATTGTTTGTCATTCCCCAAAAGGGGAACATTATATTGTCAGAGAAATCTACTGGCAGATAAGGCAACAAAGACGGCTGTCACTCAGCAGGTTCTGGAAATGTCTCTAGAGACACCTGGAAATCCCTACTACACTACACCTCAGGTAGAATGGGTACCGCAGTGAGGTTGCATTGAAGAGCCCAATGGGTGGTGGACTTTAGATCATAAAATCGAGCTTCCAATGGCCTCCCTGTGGGACATTATCACAGAAATGCACAGCTGTACCGATCTGGAAAGAGAGGCCCCAAATCAAAGTCTCTTGTATCTTTAGAGGAAAAGGACCACATGCTATAAAGGGGGTGACTCAATTCTGTCCCTCTCTTTCTACAAAATAACCCTGGAAGACACACCAAACCATCTCTCCTGCCACTCCCATACAAAAAGGAACCTAGCCTGGTGGGGATTGGCAGACAGACCTCACTACCTTACCACCAGCAAGTGGTCACAAATACTTATTGATCCTCATCGACACTTTTACTGGATGGATAAGAAACTTTCCGACGTGAATAGAAAGGCACAAGAAGTATCCAAAATCCTACTAAATGAGCTTGTTCACACTGTGCACAAACAAGGTCCCTCGAGAATGACAGTGGGCACTCCTCTGCTTCCAAAGTAACTCAGCACGTAGCCACTGCTCTGGGAATCTCCAAGCATTTCCATTCCTCTTGGAGAGCACAGCGATCAGGCAAGGTTGAAAGGGCCAACCATTGTCTTAAAAGTACTCTGGCCAGGCTATGTCAAGAGACCTCAGAGTCCTGGTTCAAGCGGTTGCCCATTTATTGCTCTCTTTAGAGTAAGGATGGCACCCAAGGCTGCCTTACAGCTTGGCCCTTTGGAGATCTTATATGAGAAACCCCTCCTCACTTCTGACAGCCTCCTTGATTCAGAGACCCAAGATCAAGTAAAGAACACTAGCGACTTAGGGTTAGTGCAGGAGACACTGGCAGAACATGGCTACCAGATCTTCTCAGTGCCAGATTCCAAAGATTCTGAACGATCTCCCAGGAGATCTAGTTTTGTTGGAGAGAGGGACCAGCCTCGTGGCACAGTGGGCTAAGTCACTGCTTGGGACTCCTGCATCCCACATCAGAGTGCTGGTTAGAGCCCTGGCTGCTTGACTTCCTGCATCCCACATCTGAGTGCTGGTTACAGCCCTGGCTGCTTGACTTCCTGCATCCCACATCTGAGTGCTGGTTACAGCCCTGGCTGCTTGACTTCCTGCATCCCACATCAGAGTGCTGGTTAGAGCCCTGGCTGCTTGACTTCCTGCATCCCACATCAGAGTGCTGGTTAGAGCCCTGGCTGCTTGACTTCCTGCATCCCACATCAGAGTGCTGGTTAGAGCCCTGGCTGCTTGACTTCCGGCTTCCTGATAACGCACCTGGAAAGGCAGCAAAAGATGACCAGGTGCTAGGGCCGCTGCTGCCCACAGGACAGACTCTGATGGAGTTCCTGGATTCCAGTTTTGGCCTGACCCAGCCCAGGCTTTTGTGGCCATCTGAGAAATTAACCAGCAGGTAGAAGATTCTCTCTCTCTCTCTCTCTCTCTCACACACACACACACACACACATACACACACACACACATAAAAAAATTTTTTTAAAAAATTGGAGATGGGCTCTCCCTCTGACTAATAACAGTCTTCAGTGGAAGACACCCTTCTCAGCACTCCTAATGCTATGGAAAATCTCTAGCTGGGCATATCTGTCAAGAATTAAGCCTCTAGCCCTTGGGTCTTTACAGATGCACCTTGAGGATAATCTGACCTACTCTTGTGAGCCAGTTGGGGGTCTTGAGTTTACCATGAGAAGACTAAAAGATGAGTATAAGTTTGGCTTTTACCAGAAACTCCTCCCTATAGCGAGCCACAGTAAGGCTCCTGCTCTTCCCAGCTGGCATGCTTTCTCCACTTCTTCTGCCATCTTCCTCAGGAAACTGCCATTGGCAGGCTAACTCCCCTGATGAACTGTTCCACCACATTAGTAACAGGGAAGATCTCACCATGCACCATGAAGATGCTTCAGAGTTCACACACACACACACACACAGAGAGAGAGAGAGAGAGAGAGAGAGAGAGTGCTTCCATCTGCTGGTTCACTCCCCAAATGGCCACATCGGCCAGAGCTGGGCCAGGCCAAAGCCAGGAGCCAGGAGCTTCTTTCGGATCTCCTGCATGGATGCAGGGGCCCAAGCACTTGGATCATCTTCCACTGCTTTCCGAGGTGCATTAGCAGGGAGCTGGATTGGAAGCAGGACAGCCAGGCATCCATATGAGATGCCAGTGCTGTAGTCCATGGTTTTAATCTGCTGCACTACAGCACTGGTCCCTACAAGATTCTTTAGATTCCCTAGACAAATGATTAGCCCTAGATTACCTACTGGAAGGACAGGTTGGAATATCTGAGTGATCAATAAAACCTGGTACACTGACATAATCAGAAGTAAACTCCTGGAAGAAGATATCAAAAGAATTTATGATCAGGTCTGGAGGCTCCAAGATTTTGGTAAGGGGAATCCCTTGGCTTCCACCAAGGCATTTGGGGAAACAGCAAAAGGTTCTTGCCCTCTCTGACACCTCCTTCTCTGGCAGTGTCCATACTCTTGTTCCTTTATGGTCCACGCACACTCATCCTAATCCTTAAACTTGTCTCTTCTAGAATTCAAAAGTGTCATGTGAAGATGGTGGTCATGCAGGGGTTCCAGCCACTAGCTGGCTGCTCCGGTGGGACCTCTACATCAGTCAGTGAGCAATTTTCACTTCCTGACTAGGCAGGGGTGATGCCATGACACGGATCGAAGAAGTTACACAAGATGGAGCTTCCTCCCTTGATCTCCCATGAAAATTAAGGGACGGGGCTGGTACCTTGGCACAGTAGGTTAATCCTCCAGCTGCGGCTCCAGCAATCCTATATGGGCACCGGTTCTAGCCCGGCTGCTCCTCTCCTGATCCAGCTCTATGCTATGGCCTGGGAAAACAGTGGAGGATGGCCCAAGAGGTTGGGCCCCTCACCCTTGTGGGAGACCGGAAAGAAGCTCCTGGTTCCTGGCTTCGGATCAGTGCAGCTCCGGCCGTTGTGGCCATCTGGGGAGTGAACCAACGGATGGAAGACTTCTCTCTCTCTCTCTCTCTCTCTCTCTTCCTCACTATCTGTAACTCTACCTCTCAAATAAGTCAATAAAATATTTTTTAAAAATTAAGGGACAAAAATCTCTGAGGTGGAAAAAATTACTATAGGCAAGGAAGCGGCACATAAGGAAGAGGTGAGGTTGCTAGCCCCTCCCTGTAGCCCCACCTGCTCTGCCCAAACTGCCCGCTTGTGCCACAGAAAACTGCAGTTTCTGAAAAACTGCTGCCTGGAGCCAGTGCCAGCTGAAAATAACCAACATGGCTGCTGACTGCATCCCCATGATGATCTATGGCCAATTGTGGCATCACTATAATACATTACCATGGCTGACACTCCTACTCCCATCATGCACCTGACACCACAATACTTCCAAGATGCTCAAAAACAGGCAAGGAAATGAGTCGAACCCCACCCCACCCACTTCCATCCCCTATGAATATTCAATTAAGCCCCACCCACAGACACCACCCCCTGTGTCTCTAGATCATATAAAGTGGTGGTCCTGACCCTTACAGGGTGTGAGAATTCCATTGGCCCCAAACTCACAGCAAAACTGAGTGATGACAAGGATGTTTAAATAAACATGAAAATGTCCGAGCAGCGACCCCTGGACTCAGGAGGACAAGCCACTAGAAGCACTGGAGTCAGGAAAAAAAAGTCACTTTGTTATCTCTGAGCTGCTCTTATCAAGGCAGAAACAGGAATCTGAATGCTTTCTAACAAAGTGAAGCCTGGAATCACTAGGCAACACACTGAATTTGGAAACAAGTGCTATTCAAAAGTTGTGGGTAATGCACATTATGAAAAAGTTACAGATGAATTTCAAAATTTTTTTGCACCTCAATAAACTTATCTTTTTTAAAAAGATTTATTTTGCCAGCACCGCGGCTCACTAGGCTAATCCTCCGCCTGCAGCACTGGCACCCCGGGTTCTAGCCCCGGTTGGGGCACTGGATTCTTTCCCGGTTGCTCCTCTTCCTGTCCAGCTCTCTGCTGTGGCCTGGGAGTGCAGTGGAGGATGGCCCAAGTGCTTGGGCCCTGCACCTGCGTGGGAGACCAGGAGGAAGCACCTGGCTCCTGGCTTCGGATCAGCGCAGTGTGCCGGCCACAGCAGCCACTTGGGGGGTGAACCAACGGAAAAAGGAAGACCTTTCTCTTTGTCTCTCTCTCTCTCACTGTCTAACTTTGCCTGTCCAAAAAATAAATAAATAAAAATAAATAAATAAAAAAGATTTATTTTGTTCATTTGAAAGGCAGAGTTAGAGAGATCGATCGATTTTTCATACATTGGTTCACTTCCCAGATGGCTGCAACAGCCTGGGCTGAAGCAGGTTCAAATCAGGAGCTAGGAGCTCCATCCTGGTCTCCCATATGGGCAGCAGAGGCCCAAGCACTTGGCCATTATCCACTGTCTTCCCAGGCACGTTAGCAGGGAGCTGAATCAGACGTAGAGCATCCAGGACTTGAACTGGTGCTCATTTGGGATGCTGACGTCCCAGGTGGCAGTTTAACTCATAAACTTATCTTTTAATTCCATTTTCCCACAAACTCTTTGACGTGCCCATGAGTGCTCCACGGGGTCTAGCAGGTGCTTTGCCGGTGACTGGAGCTCAGCAGATGTGTGTTTGCTCCCGCAGGTGGAGCTACAGAGGAGCCCTGGAGCCACTGTGCCGTCTTCCTGCCTGTCCCAGCTGCTTCATTTTCCCTCACTGCTTTTCTGCACCTTTCCTGCCAGAAAAGAGATCCCGGCTGACGGCAAGTGTGATGACTCATCTGACATCCGATTGGGTCCTTTGCATCTGCCGTGGTCCTGCCTCAGCCTCTGGGACCAGCCGTGTTGGTCGTGTTTTGGGCATGCAGGAGGATTGAAAGGTCTGGGTCGTGCAGCTGTCTGGTCGCTTTGCCTTCCACATCCTTTGCTCAGGAAAAGGGATCAAGTGTGCTTCAGTCATGCTGGGCAGCGGGAGTCGGGGACTCCTCCACCTGGGACTGTGTCTCCGCTTGTGTGCACCTTTCTTTAAAGGTAGGTTTTGCTTCTGCTCACGCTCATGCCCTTTTTAGCTCCGTGTGCTTACTCTCCTTTCTGCTGAGATCTGAATGAGCAAGCAGGTTTGAAGACTTTGAGGAAATACAGGAAGTTTCTGCGTGGGAACCACCCCTGTTACAACTGCTGATTTCTTCTGCTTGCCTTGGGTTATTCAGGGGAAATAGCTGAGGTGAGATCTAAGAGGGGGTGTGTACATCATGTTTGCTTTATTTTCCTAATGAACATATGGCTTCTAAAGTAAAATGTGAGGAGGTTGCACACAGAGTTCCTGCTGAGTGGCCATCATTGTCATCCCAGGAAACACTTCCTATTACGACTCTGCAATGCGTCCTAGGAGTCAGATGATTTGTTTGAAAACAGAAGACTTAGACAGGGAGCAATGGCTGCTCTGCTGTACAAAAATCAGCGTTTCCCGGTGCTGTTGGGTGTGCAGGGGGCTCGCTTTTTAAGACAGGCAGGGTTTATCTAGAACGTTGCAAAGGAGAAAAGACGGGTAATGAGGAGGGCTTTTCTGGTGTTTTCTGAGAGCAGTCTGTCATTTCTAATTGTGGGGGCAGTCGGGGTGCTTCCTCTTTAGCAATTTTCCTCCCTGCTGGAGACTGAGTGTTTCACCGCTTTCACATGCACCTGCCAGGCCAGCGCTGTCCACACAGCAGCTCTCCTGCCCTGGGTGCTCGACTCGGGAGCTTTGCCATCCTTTTCATCGTCTTTTCTTTCAACGTAGGAATTCCTGTGGGAGATTCGGGGAATGCTATTTCCTGTGTCCACTTTGAACTCCATAAAAGAAAATGAAAGCGGGTATTAGTACAGTGGGTTACATCAAATGCAAGCAAGCAACTTAACTTTTAGTGCATCCTTGGAAACATCCAGAGAGATGCATGAAGTGATGGTCTAAGAACAGAGAAGTCTGCTTTTTATGTTATGAGCTAATTCGGAATTTGCTTTAAGAGGTTTCAAGTACATTTACCTGTAAAACCTTGCGTTCTCATAAGTATCCCAAACAACTGAGTTTCTTAGAGGCAGAGTGAGAGAGAGAGAGAGAGAGAGAGAGAGAGAGAGAGGTCTTCCATCCGCTGGCCCACTCCCCAGATGACTGCAACGGCTGGAGCTGCACTGATCTGAAGCCAGGAATCAGGAGCTTCCTCCAGGTCTCCAACACGGGGGCAGGGGCCCAAGCACCTGGGCTGTCCTCCACCGCTTTCCCAGGCCACAGCAGAGAGCTGGATCAGAAGTGGAGCAGCCAGGACTGGAACCGGCACCCACATGGGACGCTGGCACTGCAGGCCGCGGCCTCACTGCTACGCCACAGCACTGGCCCCAACAATTGAGTTTCAAAGTTGATTTCAGCAAGGAGGATGGCTTGTGAAGACTTTGATAAAGCCACTCTGGATTTCAGCTTTCCTGGGGTCAGGGCTCTTCCTTAATCACCGGAAAACTTCTAGTAACGTGGGTGAGGTTGTCAGTTTGGTTTAGTGACATAAACTTCCAGACCTTTAGAGCTGTGGAGAGTTTAAAAAGTGCCCCAGTCAGCATTGTCTTCCTTGCTGTCACGCCAGTCCCGAGACGGAGGCGTCACTGTGTCACGCAGGCGCACAACCAGGGCTCAGGGAACTGTGGGGGCATGAGCACAGGTGAGCTAGCGCAGCCGCAGGCGGGATACCCCATTCCCTGGGGGACCTGGCCCTCTGTGTCTCTGAGCTCTGCTGTTCCGCCCGCAGGCTGTGCGGGCTGCGCGTCCGAGGAGAGACTGTTCCGCAAACTGTTCTCTCAGTACAACCAGTTCATCAGGCCCGTGGAAAACGTTTCTGACCCCGTGACGGTGTATTTTGAAGTGGCCATCACACAGCTGGCCAACGTGGTGAGTGGTCCTCAGTGGTGGTGGGCTTCTGGGGGCGGGGAGCGGGGATGGAGGTGGGGCTGACTCTAGGTGTTGGGGCAATTCTCCGAAGGGGCTGCCCTCAAGGGACTGGAAATCATACAAATACACACCAGTCGGCTGAGTCCTGCTCATGGCGAGGGAGCCTGCACTCACTCACACTGAGACGCTGAATTTCTGCAAGTGCTTTCCAAACTGGTTTATGGACCGGAGATGTGAAGGGAAGTTGAGGGGGGCCACAGGGCTGATTTTTTTTTAAAGATTTATTTATTTGTTTGAAAGGCAGAGTTACAGAGAGGCAGAGGGAGAGAAAGAGGGAGAGAGAGAGAGGACCAATCAAACCCAGAGACAGAAAGTGAGACAGAGGCAGACATGGCCAATTGAACCAGAATGAGAGAGAGAGAGAGAGAGAGAGAGAGGTCTTCCATTCGCTAGTTCACTCCCCAGATGCCTGCAATGGCCAAGGCTGGCCAGGTTGAAGCCATGAGCTTATTCCGGGTCTCCCATGTGGGTGCAGGGACCCAAGCACTTGGGCCATCTTCCACTGCTTTCCCAGGAGCATTAACAGGGAGCTACGTGGGAAGCAGAGCAGCTGGGACATGAACCCATGCCCTGAGGCGGGCTGGCAGCATCACTGTGCCACAACGCCAGCCCTAGAACGCTTGCTTTTGAATGATCTTCATTTCCTCCGTGTGGGGAGGGGAGGGAAGGGGGCTGGCACTCCTGGGTAGAGCAGAGTTAGGGGCGGGGCTGGCCTGAGGCTCAGAGAGACTTCCGACAGGCAGGCTCAGGGAGCATGGTGAGGCTGCAGCGAGTCCAGGACCCCCAATAGCCAGAGTTCCGCGAGGACACACACCGTGCACAGAAGGCAGCACCCCCAGGCGGTGAGGAAGAGCCCGCCTTCCTCCCAGTCTCTGCCCTGCAGGTGAAGCAGGCCTGGCTTCTCTGTGGTCCCCTTGTTAGGGACGCAAGAGCAGGGTCCATCACACCCCCCAGCCACCGCTTCCGATGGAGGAGGCTGGCCAGGAGCCCTCTGGCTTCTAGCCTGGGCCGGTAGTGTGCATAGAGGTCAGGGTGCTGGTTAGACAGCAGCAACGTAGAGGCTTTCTCTCACTAGACCGCCCCATTCCCGCCTTCAAATCCCATTTCCTCAGTGTCTCTTCTGCACCCCACCCCACCGCCCGAAGCTCGGTGCTGGTTGCCGGTCCCAGGCCGGGCTGGCAGCTGCACTTTGGACTGGCTGATGGAAAACAAAGCTCTGAGCAGAGTTCCCCTTAAAGTCTATGAGGGCCACTTCACTCTGCACCATCACGTCCATTCCCTGGGCCACGTGGCTTTTCAGAGCACTGTTCTGAAGGTCACTGGTGGGAAAACGCTGAATATCTGCATGTTCGCATTTGGCTATCAGTGTCAAAGATTGAAAAAGACAGCACAGCTTAAGTAAAACAAACTTCTATCTTTCTTATGGGACGGGATCTCAAGGCTAGCAATCCAGGAGGTTTACACCAGGTGGCTTCCTGGGATCGCGGCTGCCCCCAGTTGCCCAGGTTGTGCACTGCACAACTCCTGAGGACATCACTCACAGGGGCTGTGATGCTAAAAGCATCAACCACACACGTAACAGTGACCCCATTTCTGTGCTTCACCATGCTTCCTGTAGGGTTTCATCCCTCAGTGTCGCCTCAGGCTCCAAGTATTTATACTCAGCCATATTCATGTCCATTTTTCAAAAATTCAAAAAATTGTTCAAAAAGCAGAAACACAGGTACAAACAGGCACATACAGAAACAGAAAAATAGGAGAGGGAGAGGGAGAGGGAGAGGAAGAGAGAGAGAGAGAGAGACCACCCATCTACTGGTTCACTCCCCAAATACTTGCAACAGCCAAGGCTGGGTCAGACCAAAGCCAGGAGCCTGGAACTCCATCCAGGTCTCCCACATGGGTGGCAGGGGCCCAACTGCTTGGGCCATCTTTTGCTACTTCTCAGGGTGCACATTAGCAGGAATCTGGGAAAGGCGGAGCTGGGACTTGAACTAGACTCTCAGATGTGTGGCCAACCATCTGCCCCCGTGTTCACAGCCCTGGCAAGGAGCAGGAGGTAGGAAGCAAAGGGCAAAAGGGGCAGAGCAGATGCCTGTGGCTTCCTAAGGAGCTTTCTCAGGAGTCTGGCTGCACAAGTTCTACTTTCTGTCTCACCCACCTCTCAGTGCAAGGGACAACTGAGAAATGTAGCTGCCTTAGATTGAAATCTGATGTACTGCAACACTCGCAGTCACATGCAGGAGTAAGAAGTAATGGCCATCCTCGTATGCTTTGTCCAGTTTCTCCCTCAGTTTCTTTTTTGTTTAAAGATTGATTTCTTTATGTGAAAGTCAGAGTTACCCAGAGAGAAGGAGAGCCAGAGAGAGAGAGAGACAGAGAGACAGAGAAAGAGGTCTTTCATCGGCTGGTTCACTCCCCAATTGGCCGCAACAGCCAGAGCTGGGCCAATCCAAAGCCAGGAGCTTCCTCTGGGTCTCCCACGTGGGTGCAGGGGCCCAAGGACTTGGGCATCTTCTACTGCTTTCCCAGGCCATAGCAGAGAGCTGGATCTGAAGAGGAGCAGCTGGGACTAGAACCGGCGCCCACATGGGATGCCAGCAGTGCAGGCAGAGGCTTGGGCCACTGTGCCACAGCACTGGCCCCTACCATGGATTTTTTTTTTTAGCTGAGTGCTTACTGAGGAATGTTTGGAGCTGACTCCAGTTTTGGTCTGTTACAAATAAGGCTGCTGTGAACCCTCGGGGCAGGTATCTGGATAAATGTCCATCTTCCCGTCACTGGGATAAGTGTCTGGGGTCCAGCTGCTGGGCCGCGTGCTAGTTGTCAGGCTTTGTGGTTGCCTGGTGATGCGGTGCGGCCAGTTTGCTCCACCCCACACCCTCCTGCTGCGGCCTGAGTCCCCAGCTGGCCCTTAGGGAGCTCTGAGTGGAAGTGTTTGCTCCTATGCAAGGAGACCTTGGCCACCAGGTTTTCCAGCGTTGGAAGGTGTGTGCTGTCCCCTCGCAAGGACCAAGGCCAAAGGCAATGGCCTGCGCCCTCTGAGTGCCACATTTGATGCCGTCTAAGATAAAGCCCACTTGGCCGTTTAGATTTGGGTCTCTGAGTCTGTGGCCACCCCAGAAACGAGCCTGTCTGAAATGAGAGCCCAAAGCCTTTAATGCAGCTGCAGTGTCGACTACTTACTTCCCCAAGAAAGAGGTACAGGGTGATGGTCCCAGGAATCTGGGTGGTTTTGTGGTCTCTGGCTTCCTGTGGCTGGGCTGGTTCATAGTGGGGCTCATGCCTATTGCTGCGGCCTGGAATTAGGTGGAGAATATAGCTTGTCAGATGACGCCCTGATCCATAGGGTTGGCTGGCACCTCTGAGGGTGTCCACACCTCTGCAGACCAGGTCTATACCACATGGAGCCTCACCAGCCTGTGGAAGTGCAGCCGGGGAGGTAGTGCTAGCGCCAGTGATTCCAACTCTCTGAACAGAGTGTGTGCTAGTGCAGGGAGCAACAGGCACTGGATGGTGGAAGGAGCGTCCATGAATAACCCTGAGACCTGGTTGGAGCTAAGATTCTGAGGCTAGACCTTCCCCCCGACTGTAAGATTCTGAAGCTAGACCTTCCCTGACAGACAGCTAGCTAGCAGATGTATTCACTCGGCCCGTGCTGGACTCTGGGGAATTCAAGATGGTTCTTGTATCGAGAAGGCACTGGCCATAGGCTTCGGTATTTGTAAAATCATAAACTGTTTAGCCAGTCGATAAATACATACAGCTCATTTTTTGGCTTTCTCGGACCAATAGGAAACATTGATGCAGTTCCTTTTGCTGACTTTTTCAAACCGTGGCACTTACTACAGCTTGACACAAACCCGATTGTAGGAGGACGCTTGGCAAGGTCTCCATTTAGGGCTCTCCAGGAGAGGCAACGGTGAGGAGAGGGTGGGGGTGGGGGGAACAGAGAGGCTCAGGGAGTCAGGGCAGGCTGGTGGCTCAGCTGCTGCTAGATTCAGGAGCGTGCCATGGTGTCCTGGAAAGCAAAGCTGGCTGGGAAAGTTTTGGGACTGATGGCCTCTGGTGACCCACCAGCAGTCCCAGGTGGTTGTGTTGCAAGGCTGCGAAGGCTCTAGTGTGTCTCTGGTGGCCCTCATGCTGAGACCTGTGGCTGCTTAGGAAGTCACTGTATTTGGGGCATCAGCCCGGATGTGGTCCTTGACTCTCTCTCTCTCTCTCGTTTTCTTTCTTTCTTTCTTTCTTTTTTTTTAAGATTTATTTATTTATTTGAAAGTCAGAGTTACAGACAGAGAGAGAAGGAGAGGCAGAGAGAGAGAGGTCCTCCATCCACTGGTTCACTCCCCAATTGGCTGCAACGGCCAGAGCTGTGCTGATCCGAAGCCAGGAGCCAGGAGCTTCCTCTGGGTCTCCCATGTGGGTACAGGGGCCCAAGGATTTGGGCCATCTTCTCCTGCTCTCCCAGGCTATAGCAGAGAGCTGGATCGGAAGTGGAGCAACCAGGACTCAAACTGGCGCCCACATGGGATGCCGGCAGTGCAGGCGGCGGTTTTACCCACAGTGCCCCCCCCACTTCTTCTCTGATTAAGCCTTGCTGCTTCATAGCAGCCTTCCCTGCTGTGCACAACCACACATGCACATGAGCATGGTAAAGCTATGGTTCATTTTATGTCTCCCCATCTGACAGCTCAGACACGTGAAGGTGGGGACTTTTCCCACCCAGTGGCTGCTGTCTTCCCAGTATTTAGGGAGCACGTGACTATTTGTGCAATGAGTGACTGAAGCTGGGAGCCCACATTTGGTACCGAAGTTAAGATGATGCTTGTGTGGGGCTGGGGCCATGGCGTGTGATAGGTTAAGATTCCACCTGCAGTGCTGGCATGTGGGGAGCAACTGGGAGCAACTCGGACTAGACTAAGTTACTGGAATTAAGACTTATTTTATGCATCTGCTCTCCCACAATATGGCGCTGGGAGAGGAGGAAACAGCTTCTACACAGCTGCCTCCAGTTCAACCAATAACAGCAGGAGCTGCTCCTGATTGGAGGAGAGCAGCGTACTCGGCGTGTGGGTAGCAGAGTTGGGATTGGCGGAAGAGGACTATAAAGGAGGAGAGAGACAACATGCACCAGGAACATCTATCTGAAGGAACACCTGAGCAGCCCCCGAGAGAGCCGGCCGGCGGTGTGCCGCTCCCCCGCGGAAGTGGGGAAAGTGGCAGGGGGAACCGCCCTTCCACGGAGGTGGAAGGGACGGTAGCCAACCCGGGAAGAACCAGCAGCAAACCCGGGGAGGGCCGAGCAGGCAAAAGAACAACGCAGGGTCCTGTGTCGTTCCTCCGCGAAGACGGGGAGCGACACTGGCATCCCATACGGGCGCTGGTTCTTGTCCTGGATGCTCATCTTCCTATCTTTCTCTCTGCTTGTGGTCTGGGGAAGCAGTGGAGGATGGCCTGGGTCCTTGGGCCCCTGCAACCCACATGGAGGACCTGGAAGAAGCTCTTGGCTTCTGGCATGGGATCAGCGCAACTCCAGCTGTTGTGGCCATTTGGGGAGTGAACCAGAGGATGGAAGACCTCTCTCTCTCTCTGTCTCTCCCATTCTGTCTCTGTAACTCTGCCTCTCAAACAAATAAATAAATAAATGAGTCTTTTTTTTTTTTTTTTTTTAAGATGCTGTGTGTGTTGCGTGCATCCCGTGTAAAGTTTCTAAGTTCAAGTCCCGGCTCTGCTTCTGATTCCACCTTCCTGCAAAAGTGAACCCTGGGAGGCAGTGGGGATGGCTCAAGTAGTTGGGTCCCTGCCACCGACATGAGAGACCCAGACTGAGTTCTCAGCTCCTGGCCTCAGCCTGGCCTGTCCTGCTCATTGCAGATATTTAGAGTGAAATAGTGGATGGAAGGTCTCTGTCTCTCTGCCTTTCAAATAAATTTCAAAGAAACAAAAGACCGAGGTGGCAGTGCGGCTGGGGGAGGGGATGTGAACTGGGTGTGTAGCAGATTCCACCTGGAAAACTCAGCAGAGGCTGATGTGGAAGGTGAGTCTGGGGGCACACAGGCTGGGGACTGAGAGCCAGAGTTCTGAGGCCCCAGGGGAGGGAGGGAGGTTTTTAGCATGTGAGCAAAAGCAACAAAACAGATTCGAAGTCCATTACCATCTACGGTATACCCTCCCCCCACCCCCAACTCTCTTGGTTTGTTTAATGGAACCAGAGCCCTTTATAGGCTGCGGCAATGGGAAGAGACCTCACATCAGCTCTGAAAGACAGTAGTTGGAAGTCAACGTCCTTTTCTTTTCTTTTTTTTTTTTTTTTTTTTTTTTTGACAGGCAGAGTTAGACAGTGAGAGAGAGAGACAGAGAGAAAGATCTTCCTTTTTCCATTGGTTCACCCCCCCAAATGGCCAGGAGCCAGGTGCTTCCTCCTGGTCTCCCATGCGGTGCAGGGCCCAAGGACCTGGGCCATCCTCCACTGCACTCCCGGGCCACAGCAGAGAGCTGAACAGGAAGAGGAGCAACCAGGACAGAATCTGGTGCCCCAACCGGGACTAGAACCCAGGGTGCCGGTGCCGCAGGTAGAGGATTAGCCTAGTGAGCCGCGGCGCCAGCCAGTCAGCGTCCTTTTCAAAGTCATCAGGATCGGCTCCAGGTGTGGAAAGACTGCATCTCGGGTCGCGCAGTAAATGCTGCTGTTCGCACGGAAAGACAGAGAGAAAGAGACACGCAGAGATGGGTGTCTTCCACTTACTGGGTCACTCCCCAATGCCTGCCCCAGCTAAGACTGGTTAAGATCTAGTTGTGCATGTGCACAGGTTCATGGAGCCCAGCACTTCAAATCAGGCAGCTTGTGCAGGGACAAAAGCCAACCTAAGCTGTGGATGCAAAGAGACCAGAACTTGAATGCATGGAACTTTTTCAAAAATGAGGGATCCAGTGGCCTGGGAGCTTGCAACTGGAGTCCAACTTTTGGGGAGTGAGCCAGTGGATAGAAGATCTCGACCTCTCTGCCTTTCAAAGAAATAAAAATAAACCTCACTGTGCATGGCCTGGTTCCAAGCCCCTCCAATCAAAACCTGCCTCACCAGTGCTGCTGCGTAAATTTTCTACCCATAAAACTGCCCTGGCCCCTACCATCTGCTTTTTTACACGTGGTTTCCCTCCATTTGCACAAAGAACTCAGCTCTGTCTCTTTTCAGCGATCATTCTTGCTCTAGGGTCCTCTTCCACTAGCAAGGACGTGCAAGGCTCAAAATTACTATTTCTTCTCTCCCAGGATGAAGTAAACCAGATCATGGAAACCAACCTGTGGCTGCGTCACGTATGTGTCTCTGTCATCTGTGCCCCTATTTTCTGAACCATGTCGTCTCCACAGCCTGTGCTCCAGCTCTGGAGACAGCTGGCGGGATGCGAGCTTCTCAGGTGCAGATAGCTCGTGACAAGGGGATCTGTGGCGTGGAGACCGCTGCCCTTGCTGGTGTCTGCTCTCAAGTCTCCTATCTTTAGTCCGTGATGTGAACTCCAAGTGACTGATGCTCCCCACTCTTTGATTCCTGCTACACCAACGTAGAGAAGCTGGTAGCTGAAGTCAGGAACACACAGATTAAATTTCCACCAGCTGGCTATCAGTTGCATCATTTCTTTCTTCCATAAAAAAGAGTCTTATTTTTTTATAGATTTTGTAGCAAACTCATTATCATACACTTGAAATTTTTTTATTATTAGAAATGTATCGCTATTCCAGTTTGGGTCAAGTCCACAGAACAGGAAAGGCTGGCCAATAGCTAATAATTCAATGATAATTATCTATTAATATTATCTACTGATTTTATATATGTGCCTAAATCAGTTCAGTTGTACAGCCCATCTTCCATGAATACAATGTCTCAAATTTTTATAAAAACAGTGTACTCTTCAAATAAGAGCTTATTTTCTTCAAAACAAAACAAAACAAAACTAATGGCCTTGGCGTTTGGCTTAGTGGTTAAGATGGTGACTAAGACAGCACATCCCTCACGGTAGTACCTGGGTTCAATGCCCAACTCCAGCTCCTGACCAGCTTCCTGCTAATGCAGACTGTGGGAGGCAGCAGGGATGGCTCAAGTCATCGGATTCCTGCCACTCACAGGGAAACATGGACTGAGTTCCCATTTTCTGGCTTTAGTCCCAGGCCAGTTCCAGTCAGTGCAGGCAGAAGTTATGAACATTCACAAACTGATTTTTGTTTCTTTCAGATCTGGAATGATTATAAATTGCGCTGGGATCCAACAGAATACGATGGTATCGAGACTCTGCGAGTACCAGCGGATAAGATCTGGAAGCCTGACATTGTTCTATACAACAAGTAGGGGTCTCTTTCCAAAGTTCCCTTTCGTGCGCTGTCCCAAATAGCAAAAAGACTACTCCTAATGGGCTTGCTCTGCTTTGCTTTGCAGTGCTGTGGGTGACTTCCAAGTTGAAGGCAAGACCAAAGCTCTCCTCCAATACAACGGCAACATCACCTGGACGCCACCCGCCATTTTTAAGAGTTCCTGTCCGATGGATATCACCTTTTTCCCTTTTGATCATCAAAACTGTTCCCTGAAGTTCGGTTCCTGGACGTATGACAAAGCTGAAATTGATCTTCTGATCATTGGATCGAAAGTGGACATGAACGATTTTTGGGAAAACAGTGAGTGGGAGATTGTTGACGCTTCTGGCTACAAGCACGACATAAAGTACAACTGTTGTGAAGAGATATACACAGATATCACCTACTCCTTTTACATCAGAAGATTGCCCATGTTTTACACCATCAATCTGATCATCCCCTGTCTGTTCATTTCATTTCTGACCGTGCTGGTCTTCTACCTGCCTTCAGACTGTGGTGAGAAAGTGACGCTTTGCATTTCGGTTCTGCTCTCTCTGACAGTGTTTTTGTTGGTCATCACAGAAACCATCCCCTCCACCTCTCTGGTGATCCCGCTGGTGGGCGAGTACCTGCTGTTCACCATGATCTTTGTCACCCTGTCCATCGCGGTCACCGTGTTTGTGCTCAACATACACTACCGCACCCCAGCCACACACACCATGCCCAAGTGGGTGAAGACGGTTTTCCTCCAGCTGCTCCCACGGCTCCTCGTGATGAGCAGACCTCTGACCAAGAGCAGGGACACAGCTTCTGATCGGAACCCCAAAGGTGTTGCCGGCAGGTCTGCCAAAGTCAAGTTTGCTAATCGTGTGGAACCCGAGGTTCTTAAGGAATGCTGCCACTGTCACAAACCTAGTGAGCCTGCCCCCAGCAAGAAAAGGTTAAGTCACCAGCCTGTACAGTGGGCGGCCGAAGATGCAGAGCACTCGCCCGAGGTGGAAGACGTCATCAACAGTGTTCGGTTCATAGCAGAAAACATGAAGAGCCACAACGAAACCAAGGAGGTAAGTGCGCATCTCCTCCACCCCATCCAGCGGCACCTGCAACAGAGAAATCCATTTATTTATTTATTTACTTACTTACTTAAAAGGCAGGATGGAAAGAAACAGAGGGAGAGACAGAAAGAGAGAGATCTTCCATCCACTAGTTCACTCTCCAAGTGGTTGCAACAGCCCGGGCTGGGCCAGGCGGAAGCCAGGAGCCTGGAACTCCATCTGGGTCTGCCATGTGGGTGGCAGAGGCCCGAGCACTTGAGTCATCCTCTGCTGCCTTCCCAGGTGCATTAGCAGGGAGCCGGATCAGAAGCAGAGCAGCCAGGACTCAAACTGGCGCCCTGATATGGGATGCCAGTGTTGCAAGCGGTGACTTAAGCTGTGTGCCACAACACTGGCCCCTCAGCAGTCGAGAATTCCTGTGAACCAGGGAATCAAGACTCCTCAAGCTCTCCTTAGACTCAGTAGCCACTGGCACGAGGCATCAGTAGAGACACATGCCAAGGACCCTCTTCAGACAAAGTATAGGCGAAATCATAACATCACTATTTGAATTAAACAGTGCTGGGAGGGAAGCATTTCGCTTGGTGGTTAAGACACTGGTTAAGGTACCCACATCCCCTAGGGGAGTACCTTTGTTCAAGTCCTGGCTTCAGCTCCTGACTCCAGCTTTTTCCCAATGCCGACCCTGAGGAGCAAGAATGATGGCTTAAGAGATTGGGTTCCTGCCACCCACATGATCCCTGAGACCTGGATTGGGATCCCTAGCTCCCAGCTTCAGCCCTAGCCCATCCCCGGTTGCTGTGGGCATTTGGGAAATGAACCAGTAGATAGGAGTTCCCTCTCTTTGTCTGTGTCTCTGTCTTTCTGCCTCTCAACTAACTACGTTTATTTTTCATTGCTGGGGAAATCTTTGAAGAAGAAGCCTGTTTGTGAAGCAGAGATGTGTCCTGTGGTTGTGATACTTAACCACAGCTGTGGCTTTTGTTTGCATTTCAGGTAGAAGATGACTGGAAATATGTGGCCATGGTGGTGGACAGAGTGTTTCTCTGGGTGTTTGTCATTGTCTGCGTGTTCGGAACAGCAGGGCTATTTCTACAGCCACTACTTGGGGACACAGGAAAACCATAACACATATTTTTCCTTTTAGGTCCATAAATTTACAGGCATTATATTTGTTCTCGATTCCTTTCCATAAGGATAGGGACGTAGAACTTCCTACCCAAGTCCCCCATCTTCTGAAACTGACGATTTGATGGACAAAACAGCTTCATTGCAAGCACAGAGTCTGACCCCCCTACTTGTGGCACAGCACAGCAGGTAAAGAGGCCTAACACGGAGTCCCACAAAGGCAGCACCCGCAGGCTCAGAGCAGCAGGCCAGACTTCTCTCTGGTCCAAGCAAGTCTGACTTTCAGAGACCTGGATGGCTCACAAAACAGCTGGACCGCATGACTAACATCAAACCACACTGAAAGAGGTTGCGTGGCATCTCCAGTCTGGGCTGGATGATGCTTGCGAGATGTGAAACCTGGGCCCTGGGCCTCCGTGACATTTGCAACTCTCGTGAACTCTTGCATCCTTGCTTTCTTGTGCATGTCTCTGTGCTATGGCTCACCCTTGCAGCGTTATTCGTGTGTCACATTCAGTGGTTTAAAAAATATGCGAGGGATGGACGTGCGGCTATGGTGAAGGTCCACTTTGAACGCCTGCATTCCATAATGGAGGGCCAGAGTTCGAGGGCTGCCTCTGCTCTCGATTTTAGGATCTTGGGGCTGCACACCCAGGAGGCAGCAGGTGTTGGCTCCGGTGTTTGGGTCCCTGCCACCTATGTGGGAGACCCAGTTTGAGTTCTTAGCTCCTGACCTCAGCTCAGCCCAGCGCTGGCCATTGCAGGCATTTGGAGAGTGAGCCTGCAGAGCGGGAGTTCTCGCTGTCCCTCTGAAAGGGAATAAATGAATAATTTCTTTAATTCTCTTTTTTCTGTCTTTTTTTTTTTTTTTTTGACAGGCAGAGTGGACAGTGAGAGAGAGAGACAGAGAGAAAGGTCTTCCTTTGCCGTTGGTTCACCCTCCAATGGCCGCTGCGGCTGGCGCGCTGCGGCCGGCGCACCACGCTGATCTGAAGGCAGGAGCCAGGTGCTTCTCCTGGTCTCCCATGGGGTGCAGGGCCCAAGCACTTGGGCCATCCTCCACTGCACTCCCTGACCACAGCAGAGAGCTGGCCTGGAAGAGGGGCAACCAGGACAGAATCCGGTGCCCCGACGGGGACTAGAACCCGGTGTGCCGGTGCCACTAGGCGGAGGATTAGCCTAGTGAGCCACGGCACCGGCCAGAATAATTAAGAAGCCAGGCTGTGAGTCTATCTTAGCTGGCTGTGTATATGTTCAGCACTCATCTGGCGAGCAGCCTGAAGGTAAGCCAGCGCTAGGCATTGCAACAGTAACAGAAATAGGTCCTTTTCCCCCAAGCCGTGGTAGCTTTTTTAGAAAAGTCAATTGATGCAAGGATCTGCAGGGCCAGGGAGCCTGTGGGGACTGTCACTGGAGCAGCACAGGAGAGCCTGATGGCGTGCGGCTGGGCACACCTGAGGCCACCTTTGTGGCAGGTCTGAAAAGGGTCTTCTCCTCTTTCCTCACCAACAGTTTTCATTTGCTCCCTGTGCTGAGATGGAAAATAAAAGCCTTCCTCCTATGAGAAATCATGTGTGTGTGTACCTTTTAGAGCAACTCCTGGGCATTCTGTTCGATTCCATTCCAGTCGTCTTTTTATTTGTTGTGTAAACATTAGTCTAACAATTTAAGATGTATTTTAAGGCAGAAAACAATACATCTAATAAAGGGGTTCATTTAAGCTTTGTCTTTTCCCTTCTAGCCTTTGTCCCATGCCTAGATGTTGTTATACCTCCGTTTTAATGTTCAACACTCTTCTTCTAGGCCAGTGGCATTTATCCACATTGCATGGGCCTTGCAGTATGACTTTTTTAAAAAAAGATTTATTTTATTTATTTGAAAGACAGAGTTACAGAGAGAGGTAGAAACAGAGAAAGGGGTTTTCCATCCGCTGGTTCACTCCCCAGATAGCTACAACGGGCAGGAACTGCGCCAATCCGAAGCCAGGAGCCAGCAGCTTCCTCCAGGTCTCCCACGCAGGTGCAGGGGCCCAAGGACTTGGGCCATCTTTCACTGCTTTCCCAGGCCCTAGCAGAGAGCTGGATCAGAAGAGAAGCAGCCGGGACTTGAACTGGCGCCCATATGGGATGCCTGCACTTCAGGCCAGGGCTTTAACCTGTTGTGCCACAGCACCAGCCCCGGGGTATGACTTCCATGATGGCACGGTCTCCGTGTGTTGCTGCTTCCTGATTTCCTTTCCCACACCATGAACTCTGCGTGGTCCCTGATCTGCTGGAGCCCAGGGCACTGCTGAGTCTGCCTGGCAGAGGTCCTGCGTTTGAATGACTCTGTTTTCAAGTATGTTTCACATCTTGTTGTAGTTGTGGTTATAATATCTTTTTATTCTTCTTGTCAAAGGATGAAATGACAGCAAATTCAGTTAAAGATCTTAGTGGGCTTTACTCGTGGTTCTAGAATCAGACAGCACCTCATTCTATGAAGTAGAGCGAGCGTTCCAATGCCCCAGGCACGGGGGTTGGCTTTACAGACAGAAAGCAGAAGCAGAAACTGGAAAGTAGATGGGTCATTTCAGAGTTACTTTCCTTGTAAAGGTGAAAGCAAAGGGGACTTCTTTATCTTGAAGCTAAAGCTGGCTTGTTTGGGGATTTGGCTGTGCCCTCAGTCCAGCTCCCTCCGATGCTCAGGCAGATAAGCAGCTTAGGTTCAGCTGGTTGGTGTGTGCTTTAGCAGAGTGACAGTTGCGATCTGTTTTGTTGGGCCCAGTGCGGGAGCTCAGTCCAAACCAATGGCCTCCTACACATGCTACTTAACACTATCCTTATAGTAGTTTGGTCGTTATTCAATTTTTTTTACTATTGAGCCAAATAAATATTTAAGCTTATTTTTAAAAATGTTTTAATTGTGGTAGAATACCCCTCACATGGAATTTACCATCTTAACTCTGTCAGCACACACTCAGTCTTACTAAACACATTCACATTTTTGCACACCTTTCGCCACCTTGCAGCCCCAGGACTCCGTCTATCATACAAAGCTGGAACGTTGCACACCAGTCACAGCCCCTCCCTCTCTCCCCACCCATAACCACTGGGAGCCACCATTCTGCCTTATGCACCTAAGATTTTGACTATTTTTTGTACTTCAGATAGTGGGATGGTACAGTATTTGTCGTTTTGTGGCTGACTTAATTCTCTTAACCAGTCTCGCAGGTGCATCCACATTGTACTACATGGCAGAATTCACTTCCTTCTTAAGATCGACCAACATTTCATTGTGTGTACAATGGGCACTTGGGTTGCTTCCCATTTTTGGCTATTGTGAACAATGCTGGTATAAACATGGACTTGTAAATATCTCTTTGAGTCTCCGTTTTCAATTATTTTGGGTATATACCCAGAGGGGACATGGCTCTGCTTTTAATTTTTGTTTGACTGCCACACCTGGTTTTCACAGTGTCTGTACCATTTTACATTCCCACCAGCAGATTCAAAGCATTCCGGTTTCTTCACACTCTTGCCAACACTTGCTATTTTGTGGTGTGTTTGTGTTGTTGTTTTTGATATCAGCCATCCTAATGGGTGTGAGGTAATACACTATTGTGGTTTTGAGTTTTCATTTATATATTGATTAATGATATTGATATTTCATATGTTTATAGGTCATTTGTATTTCTTCTTTGGACACATAAAAATTCAAGACCTTTGCCCAGTTTATAACAGAGTTAGTCGTTTTTCTGCTATTATTGTTGAATTGTAGGAGTTCTTTATATATTCTTTGTATTAATCCCCTATGAGATATAAAAACAAGAGTTCTTTTTTTTTAGATTTATCTTATTTATTTGAAAGACAGTTACAGAGAGAGGTAGAGCCAGAGAGAGAAAAATAGAAAGAGAGAGAAAGGTCTTCTATCCACTGGTTCACTCCCCAGATGACCGCAATGGCCAGAGCTGAGCTGATCCAAAGCCAGGAGCAAGGAGATTCTTCCGGGTCTCCCACGTGGATGCAGGGGCCCAAGGACTTGGGCCATCTTCCACTGCTTTCCCAGGCCATAGCAGAGAGTTGGATTGGAAGTGGAGCAGCCAGGAATCAAACCGGCACCCATATGGGATGCCAGTGCTGCAAAAAGCAAGACTTCTAAGAATTACAGTTCAGGAAGATGGAAGAGGTATTTCCCAGCCATGGCATGGAGTCCTCTCCTGACTCCTAACACATCTGTTCTTTTTGAGGCAACCTTTGACTTCCCAGAGGTTTCGCAGTGACCTCAGAGAAGAGGGAGGATCCTGTTTGAGGGGACTTCAAAGGGTTCATAGAAAAATGGAATTAAAAGATCCAGTTGGGGCTGGTGTGATGGTGCAGCAGGTTAAGCTACAGTCTCATTGCCGGCATCTTGTATGGAACTGCCAGTTTGAGTCCCAGCTGCTTCACTTCTGCTCCAGCTCCCTGCTAATGCACCTGGGAAGAGCAGTAGAAGATGGTCCATGTGCCTGGGCCTCTGCCACCAATGTGGCACACCCAGATGGAGCTCCTGGTCCACTTTGGCCTGGTCCACTCATGGCTATTTTTTTTTAAAGATTTATTTATTTATTTATTTAAAAGGCAGAGTTACACAAAGAGAGGAGAGGCAGTGAGAGAGAGAGGTCTTCTGTTCACTGGTTCACTCCCCAGTTGGCCACAAAGGCTGGAGTTGGGCCAATCCAAAGCTAGGAGCCAGGAGCTTCTTCTGGGTCTCCCACGTGGGTGCAGGGGCCCAAGCACTTGGACCATCCCAGGCCATAGCAGAGAGCTGAAATAGAAGTGGAGCAGGCGAGACTCGAACTGGTGCCCATATGGGGTGCTTGCACTGCAGGCGGCAGGTTTTACCTGCTTTGCCACAGTGCCGGCACAACCCTGGCTATTGTAGCCATGTGGGGACTGAACCGGCAGATCAAATAATTCTTTCTCTCTCTGTCTCTCCCTCTCTCTGTCAAATAAATAAAAAGTAAAATCTTAATAAAAGATAACTCTGTTGCAAAAGAATTTTGAAACCCTTGCAGTCTTTTGCATGATACATATTTTCCACACTTTTGAAAGACTTCTCACATTTCAAGTGAACAAGTTAGCAACATGCATTTAAAAAAAATAAAATAATAGTTGGAGAAAAAGTGGTCATGGCATTTGTTCAAAAGAACAAAGGAAAGCGTAGTTTAAACATTTGTAAGGGGCCTGGGGAAATAAAACATAACAGATCTCTTTGTTAATAGAGATTTTTAACTTTTAACATTGGCTTAAAATTCTCTTGATTATGCTTTGTGCGTGCACATGTTCACATATGTGCGTGAACACTGGATAGCCTCTGCATATCTGAACCACAGAATCAATTGCTCATAGACATGGAACAGTATGAAGATTGCTTAACCCAATCTTTAATCCTCTAGAGGTGGATTGGTTTACCTATGATCACATAGCTGGGGGATGACAAATCCAACAGTGACACCCACATCTCTATCCCCAGCATAGTTCATTTTCTGTCATGAGACGAGAGTAGAACCAGACAGTCAGTCAACATAAGTGACTGCTCCTCTTCCCTCCGCAACCCCATGCTCACCCCACCTAGCCTGGGGCAGTTACCTGGATTAGGAATAGTGATTAAGGGAGGGGGCACCTTTCATTGTCAGTAATCAGTCGGAAGAAAGCTTTGTAGAGTAAACCAGGTCCCAAAGGTGAAGGAACTCCCCCCTCTTGTCCTAGGAAGATTGAGACTATTAGTTGGCTAAAAATACAAGTGTTGAATTGTGCTTTAATGGGGCAGGGGATAAAAATATCTCCTATAGACTCTGTATGAGTCTTCAGAATGAGATTGATTGTGGAGGTAGTGTTACCAGGGCCCAGCTAGCCAGTCTATGTATCATTGAAAAACCATCTTGCTTATGTATGGCAATAGGCTGTTGTTAAGTACAAGCGGCCAAAGTCAATGGGTGGGGAATTGCTGTGGCTACCTGGGTACCAGCAAGGGTCCAAGAGAGCAGTGAATCTCTTGAATTTGGTTAGTTGTGTTTGGAGATGTGGTCTTTGTTGAGCTGCTATATATCCTTTTTTTTTTTTTAAAGATTTATTTATTTATTTGAAAGTCAGAGTTACACAGAGGAGAGGCAGAGACAGAGAGAGGTCTTCCATCCGATGGTTTACTCCCCAGAGGGCCGCAATGGCCGGAGCTGCACCGATCCAAAGCCAGGAGCCAGGAGCTTCTTCCCAGTCTCCCACATGGGTGCAGGGGCCTAAAGACTTGGGCCATCTTCCACTGCTTTCCCAGGCCATAGCAGAGAGCTTGATCGCAAGTGGAGCAGACGGGTCTCGAACTGGCACCCATATGGGATGCCAGCGCTTCAGGCCAGGGCGTTAACACGCTGTTCCACAGTGCCGGCCCGAGCTTTTGTGTATCCTTACAAAGCAATCTTTGCTGTGCAAGCCTCCTTATCTCCCCTGGGGAGGCAAGCTCTGGGTAAGGGTACTCTTACCAGCCACAGGCAGAATTCTGCTGGTGAGTGACATGGCCGCAGGCAGGGCAGGGCAGAAATGATCTGCCCCAAAGGTGAAGGTAGGAAAGAGACAGCGGCAATATTCAGCGACAGCGACCCTGTTCCAGCAGCCAGCTGAGTTGAACAGCAGATGTCTTGGGGGAGACAAGTGATGGTTCGGAGTGCAGTTTCTTCTCCCTAATAACCCCACTTCGGCCAGAAAGAGATGAAAGCCTGCTGATGCCAAAGCACAAAGGGGCGATGTGAGGGGCTACCTCAGGGCTTACAGGAGCCAGACTGGAGCGCTGTGCCACTCGTCGAGAGGCCGATTTGAGGGGTCCCACGCTGTGGTGCCACGAGCGAGATAAGCTGCTGCCCGTGACACCGGCATCCCATACGAGTGCTGGCAGGTGGCCCAAGCACTCGGGCCCACATGGGAGACCAGATGCTCCTGGCTTCCACCTGGCTATTGTGGCCACATGAGGAGTGAGCCGGTGCTGGAAGATTGATCTCTCTCTCTCTCTGTAACTCTGACTTTCAAGAAAACAAATAAGCCTTTTTTTTTTTTTTTAAGGTTTTTTTTTTTTTTTTTTTAAAGGGGGGAGCAACTTGACCCTCTTTGGTTTCTAGTCCAGCATCCTCATCCCGCCATGTGGGTCCTGGGGCTTGGTCTTCTAATTTTCCAGGAGAAGCTGCAAATTTAGCTTTTTAAAAAAGTCTTATTTTATTTATCTGAAAAGCAAAGTTAGAGAGAGAGAGAGAGAGAGAGAAGGTTTATAGAGAGATCATCCGCTGGTTCACTCCCCAGATGGCCTGATCCCCAGCAGGGCTGATCTGAAGCCAGGAGCCAGGAGCTACTTCCAGGTCTCCCACATGGGTGCAGGGGCCCAAGCACTGCGGACATCTCCACCACTTTCCCAGGTGCATTAGCAGGGAGCTGGATGGGAACTTGATCTGGTGCCCATATGGGATACAGGTCTTGGGTGAAGGCTTAACCTGCTATGCCAAATTTAGCTTTATGTATATAAAAAACTCCTACTTTTAAAATGTGGCCACTAAATTACAAAATTAAGAAACCCCAAAAGTTTCTGTGTTAGCCCAACACATGTACAGGGTCACAGATCTGCATCCTTTGACTGAACAAACTGGGACCCGAGTTCTTCTGTTTCAGGAACGTCACACAAGAGGGACCCAGTCACAGGGGGAGGGGTGTTGGCATCCGGCCCGAAGTGATCACAGCTATTTTGGACATGCTTGCCATCTTGTCCTTTGTGTAACCCTGGTAGTCATCCCAAGCCCCCTCCGTAGGGTAAACAAGGCTATTAAGATAATCTGCTGGGTCGGTGCCATGGCGCGCTAGGTTAATCCTCTGCCTGCGGCGCTGGCATCCCATATGGGTGCCGTTTCTAGTCTTGGTTGTTCCTCTTCCAGTCCAGCTCTCTGCTATGGCCTGGGAAAGCAGTGGAGGATGGCCCAAGTGCTTGGGCCCCTGCACCGCATGGGAGACCCGAAAGAAGCTCCTGGCTCCTGGCTCCAGCTGTTGCAGCCATTTGGGGAGTGAACCAACAGAAGGAAGACCTTTCTCTCTGTCTCTTTCTCACTGTCTATAACTCTACCTGTCAAATAAATAAATAAAATCTTTTTTTAAAAAAAAGATAACCCGCCACTGGGAAGTCTCCTGTGAGCATTAGTGTTTCGTGGAAAAGTCCAGGTGCATCCTCATTAGTCATAGGCCGCCTTTATCTGTAAGGCCCCTTTCCTCCCTCCTCCCACTGCCAGCTACCCAAGACTGCGCTTCTGTCCGTTAAGTCCCTGCACAAAGTCACTGAGGTCTCGGATGTGTCTTCTTTCTTCCATCTCATGGCATCTTCCACTTGATTGGCTGGTTCTCCTACACAAGTTATTTTTTTTCCAAAATGGGGTAAGCAAAAAAAAGGAAAAGGGGGCAGGGAGCCAAGGCAGCGCCATCTGAGGGCCTACAGAGCTTCTGCTTAGGATACCCTTCCTCCCCCCTCCCCCAAGCCCCTTTCCCCGGGCTTGCCTCTTGCATGTCACACAAGGGAGAAGACAGTAAAAACAGGGCACCTCCCCTGCCCCACTCCCTTTTGACTTTGGATCTATCATCTAAGTAGCAGTGGCCCACAGCTTAGACTGGCTCTGTCCTGACACTCCTGTGCGACAATCCTCACTCCAGTGTGAGGGTCTGAGGGAGCTCAGGTCACCGGGTGAAGACTTCATGAGTGGCACTGGTGTCCTCACGAGAGGACCCCCTGTCCTTCACACGTGAGCGCTCAGGACGGCCAACCAAGAACCAGGACGGGGATCTGGCAGATCCTGGCTCTGCCAGCACCTTGCTCTCAGACTTCCAGCCTTTAGAATGGCGAAAAATAAATTTCTACTCCTCACAAACCACTTGTCTATAGTAGTTTTTTTATAGCAGCATTAACAACCTAAGACATCAGTCATTCTCAACTGGAGGGGCTGTTGTACCCATCCCCTCTCCACACACACACACACACACACACACACATTAGCAGTGGTGTCTGGAAATGTCTAAAAGGACATTGGCTGAGCATGTTGCTGTTCGTAGGGGTGCCAAGCACCCTGCAGAGCGAGGGCCAGCCTGATGCAGAATCTTCCTTGTCAAAATGTCACTAAGACCTCCAGGGAAACACTGGGACCTCTCAGGGGTGTCTGTTTAAGAGGAAGGCCTGCCAGGCTGGTGGGGGGCAGCTGCCACAGCCTCCCCAGGCCCCTCCTGGAGGCGGGAAACAGGAGGAAGACTTTGATCTCTAGCACCTCCCTCTAAGGCCGTTTTTATCATTCTGTCTTCATTCTTTCCCTTCGCACGCTGCCACCTTCTGGCCTGGCTGGGTCTCCTCTTGTTGCCCAAAGCTGCGTCCATCCTTGGGTGTTCTGGTGGGAGTGTCTACTGCAGGGGCCAGGTTGTCCTGCCCTGATAGCCAGTGGTCAAGGTGGGACAGTATACATTAGAGGTACATCACTGCCCTCAGATGGTTTTCCACACCTAAAATTGTGTTTACGAGCCAAAGACAGCATCAGGAAACTTTTATTTTCACTACTATTTTATTCAGACATTGAACAGGAAGTCTTAATACAAAGAGGAAATATGAACAGTCAATGACAGGAATTCATTTAAATACATAAATAGTAGATGCTTCAGAGAACGAATTTTGATATCGCCACAGGGTCCAGACAACATAACATAAAAATATTACTCTTTGGAAATTACTGTGTTCCAATATGGCTCATCAGACACAATATTTAAAGGGACCAAGGTCACAGGTAAGAGTCTTTATAACTTTGCTGTGTGTTACAGCCACAAGCTTTACCACAAAATTGATCAGTGGATACGGTGGAGATACTGTTATCACCCTAATCTAGGAATTAATCTTGACACTAAGATAAGATAGCCAGAGAATACTTATGTGTCTGCTACTGTGTAAGATATGAAACCTACATTCTCATTTATGATGAATTCCTGCCAAAGATACTGAACCAGGGGTATAGTCAGAGTTTCACTGTAACTTTCATTTATGGGAAATACAGGAGACAGGTGATTTGTGACAATGTAGCTAGCAGAGCTGGAGGCACAAATCACAGGCCCCTACCCCATGTAATTCTATCCGACTTGTCAGTCAGAACATTCCATTTCCCAGAATGCCTTGTTTTCACCTGGGACCTGGGGAAAAGTCACCGTGTGAATATGTATATTAAGCTCCCCAGGGCATTTTATGCAGGTGTCATAAAACTCCCAGGTGACCCCGTTACCCCATCAAAGGAGGTACTGGGAGGTACTCTTCCGTTTTTCCTCATTGACCAAAACTAAAGGAGACGCTGAGGTGCCATCTCTCTATTTCCCTTCCCCCATTCCTCTTCTCCCTCTGGTTCCTCCACTCAACTCTGCCTACGTGTGTGTGTGTGTGTGTGTGTGTGTGTTTGCCTTCTCACCTTTAATAAATTCACCACTTTGTGCACTGTAGATGTGCCTGTGCTTAGCATACTTTTCCAAGTAGAAGGCCAGGACCTGGAATAATTAGACCCCGCCTCTCTCCCCCACCACACACACATATACTTCAGAGGGACAAGCTCAATGACAACAGAAACAAGCAACCAGGCAAAACCAGCAAGTAGGACATTCTTGGGGAATATTGATCCAGTCCTCCTAACAAATCAGTTCCAAGAAAGAGATCAAAATAGATTTAAAAGGCAAAACAAGAGAGTCTTGGGCTGAATTTTACTTTAAACTGAACTAACAATAAAATTGGGGCACATTTGAGACAGTTAGGAAAACCTGAACATAGAATGATGGACTTGGTAATGAGAATGGATTGCCCCTAAAAATCCTGCACAACATTCAAGAGGAACACCTCCTGTGACTCATCTGAAGAGTGGCCAGACAGAGCTATTAATAATATCTTGGGTTTGGCTTGGGTGATGTGCACATAGGATCTGTTTCATCTTAGCCATCCGGAGCAACCTTGAGAAATACTTTGTTCTTTAGCTATGCATTCTTATTCATTCCCTTCTTGAAATTCATCAGTAACCTTCTCTTCAATAACTCTTTTCAGGGACAATACCCTCCCTGTCTCTGAAGGTGTTTTTAGTGAATCATATTCTAATTTCCAACCAGCAAGAAATTTTCCTGATTTTACTCCAAACCCATCTTGTCCAGCCAAGCCAATGTATACTTACCGTGTAACATCTAGATTCTGACTACAGCTGATCACTTTGGAACACTTCCCAAGGCTCATTCAAAGTCACTGTACTTGTGTTTCACACACACACACACACACACACACACACACTTAGGCTAGAACTGTTGGGGAGAGAATGAAAAAGAGTACAGACCCTTCCCCATTTAAGACAAAGAACCCAGGGCTGGCACCGTGGTGTAGCAGGTAAAGCCTCTGCATGCAGTGCCAGCATCCCATACGGGCACCAGTTTGAGGCCCGGCTGTTCCACTTCCTATCCAGCTCTTTGATATGGCTTGGAAAAGCAATGGAAGATGGCCCAAGTCCTTGAGCCCTGCACCTGCATGGGAGACCTGGAAGAAGCTCCTGGCTCCTGGCTTCAGATGGGCGCAGCTACAGCCACTGTGGCCGACTGGGAGTGAACCAGCAGATGGAAGACCTCTCCCCCCCACCCCGTGTAACTCTGACTTTTAAGTAAACAAATAAATATTTAAAAGAAAAGAAAAAGAAAACCACTGAGAGCCACATGAGAAAAAAAAAAAAGACAAAGAGCCCAATCCAAAGTTTATAGCATCTGATTTAATTGATCAACACAAATTAACTAGCGCTTAACTAGGTACTCAACTCTATTAGAAACTCTGGAGGATCTAGCAGGGGCTGTGCTGCTATAGCTAATAAAATTCACTTAACAAAGTAACAGAGAAAGTTATGTTCTATTCTACATAGTACAGACTGAAAATACTCCGTGGAGGCCACCTGTTCTATGAAGGCTTTGTGAGGAGGTAAGGTGTGGGCAGAGACCTCAAGGGTGGGAACAGTTTAGGACAGTGCTCTGTGTCCATGTATATGTGTGCACAAGTGTGTGTCCTGCATCCTCATGTGTGTGACAGAGTGTGGTGTTGGTTTTGCAATACCCATTTGTTGGGACTATCTGGCCAATGTTGTCCATATATCATTCTTGCTATACATTTGAAATTAAAATTTCTTTGCTTTATGGGGCCAGCATTGTGGCACAGCAGGTGAAGCCACTGCTTGTGACCCTGGCATCTCATATCAGAGTGCCAATTCAAGTCTTGGCAACTCTACTTCCAAGCCAGCTTCATGTTAATGTGCCTGGGAAGGCAGAAGAACATGGCTCAAGTGCTTGGGCCCCTTCCATCAATTAAGAAAGAGTAGGATGGAGTTCCTGACTCATGGATTTGGCTTGGCTTAGCCTTCGACATTGTGGTTATTTTGGGAGTGAACTAGTGGGTGGATCATCTCTCTCTCCTCTCTTTCTCTTTCTTCTGCCTCTTCTCTCTCTGTGGCTCTGCCTTCAGATAAATAAATAGATCTTTAAAGTTGCCCTTTGCTTTGCAGTCATCCTCTGTGGTTACTTCCCTGGGGTGATCGTGATGTACTGTGACTATTTATCCTTTCCCATGTTTGAAATTGTTGCCATCATCTCCCACCTTAGCTGCAATGGGACTTAAGCTGCATGTACACAGATGAGGGTTTATCTTCTCTGTTTTTGTTTGATCAGAAAGAGGATGGCTGTGCAAAGTGTTTCAGGCTGGTATTTTTCAAAACTTAGAATTGAATTCAAATGTAAACACATTTTTCTAAGATTAATATTGTCATTTACCTAGCAAACTAATGAGTTAAAGCAAAGAGCTAAAGTCAATAGTAATAAAAGGGAGAAGAACAAAGAATTGCCCTTTGAATCCAAAATCCCATCAAGGGTTTAAGGCTGAGAATCCTCAATTTTCATCACAATGTGTTCTTGCAAATCCTGGCCAAAAGCAGAGATAAAGCAGATTACATTTTCCCAAGAGAACAAGATTGCAATTAGAAGTTGTGTGGCTTAAAAATTGTGAAAGCTCCAGTAGCATCTCCAAGATTGATCATTTTAGAGCAGAAAAAAGCTTCAAAGGTCATGAATCATAAACTCTTACTACTGACCAGGAACCCTAAACCCGGAGATGACATGTAACTCACGCAAGGGCCCACAGTCACAGAGCTAGCTAATGGCTGGTCAAGAACCCACTTCCCAATGCCCTGGCTTTCATTTTATCATGTAACCTCCCAATCAGAAATCGAAAAAATACGCAGAAAAGTAATGGATATGTATGAGGAGGCTCAATGTTCCACGGTGTATGCACACGTGGCAGGAAGCTCTCTAAAATAAGGGGTCCAGACTGCTTGAAATGATTGAACTATTTCTGTTCACTATTACATGTGTGTGTGCATTCTAGGAACAGAGTGTAGCTGGGCATTTTGTAGGCCTAGGAAAAAGTCATACAAGAGAGGGGGCGGTAATTAAAGGAATGATTTCCCAGAGGAAGGATCAAGGGCACAAGAGGAGGAGAGATTAAGTATGGAAAGCAGAGGGCTAGCTGCTCTCATGAGGGCGGAACTCTGACTAGAAGTGGGAAGAGCTGCCCGGGAGACAGAAAGGTGGAGAACCCTAGTACCATGGACAGCGCCTCCCACCGAGTCTGACAACTTAAGCCGCTCACTAACCTCAAGCCATGCATCACTTTGGTTTTCTGTCGATAAATTAGCAGTTCTATGCCCAGCAGAAGTATCTTTCCAGTCCCTATCTGTGTCTAGTATTTGCAAGCCTGCAAAGTCAAGATAATTTGCAGTTCTTAAAAAGTAGATCCATATTTTCCTTGTGGTACAGGGGTCCTCTGGTGAGTTTTCAGTGTTCCGGGTGCCACGTAATACTAGATGAACGTACAGGGATTGGGATTTAAAGAAGATTCTAGAATAAGATGGGATGGCTGGAGGGTGTGCTTATTTTCTTCATTTTTTCTTGGGGGGGGGGAGGGCAGATCCTAAGCATCCTATTGATGTTTCAGAAGAAATGTGAAATACAGATGAATGCTGTCCTGAGTCTACAACAGAATCATCATGGACCAGAATGGTGCGGAATGTTTGCAAAATGTAGGGCAGGTGAGATCAGACTTATGGTCAACCCGAACAGAGAAGTGGAATTTGTATTCCCATTAAGGCAAGGCAAGACCTTCACAGAAACTTTTTTTTCCCTAGCAAATCCTCACTATAATGCCAATCAGGGAGGTGTCAACCAGGGAATGTAATTGGCAGTAAAAAAGTGAGGGACAGGGGACAGCTGCACACTTTTCTATTTGCAGAGTGGCTTCTGTGGTCTGGCCCCCACTCAGGTGGGACCCATTTGGAAACCCAAGAAAGTAGAGTGGGTACCGGGGTCACAGAATTGGGCCAGTGTTCAGGACTACTCATGGCCATCATTGAGGAAGGAGTGTCCCCCAGTGTAGAAGCCACCCACAGCCCCAGATAAATGCTGTCCTGCATTCAGACAGTGAAAGAAAGCCTCCCCAGAGTTTTCTGTAATTAGAAATGATTTTTTGCTTTCAGGTCAATAAGCAATAGCAATCACTAGGTATTTAAATATAGTGACCACCAAAAGCATCAAAAATCAACATTTGAATTAGCTATTGAGGAAAAATTATAATGTGAGTAACAGAAAACTTTCAAGTAACCATAATCAGTATCCCCTGGACTATTCCAGAGTGCCTGACATCCATAAAGCGAACCAGATTTCTTAGAAATCAAGCACATGCTTGATCCACAAAGCCCTGCCTCAGTAGTTGGGCTGAGAAGCAGAGCAGACATGGCTGAAGGTCACATTTGGGAGCTGTAACCCCAAGATGACAAAATATGAAAAGTGAAATACATAAAAAATACAAGAAGAAAACAAGCTAATAAGAATAAAAGGCATATCCAGGAATACCAAGACCACTCTAGTAGGAATTTCAAAAGAAAAGGAGAGAGAGGATGGAGGATAGGAAATAATACAAGAAATACGAAAAGAAGTTGAGGGGCCGGCATTATGGCGTAGCAAATAAAGCCACTGCCTGCAATGCCAGCATCCCACATGGGCACTGGTTTGAGTCCCGGCTGCTCCACTTCCAATCCAGCTCCCTGCTGGTGGCCTGGGAAAAGCAGCAGCAGGTGGGCCAAGTGCTTGGGCTCCTGCACCCACGTGGGAGAACTATATGAAGAAGCTCTTTGCTCCTGGCTTTGGTCTGGCTCAGCCCTGGCTGTTGTGGCTATCTGGGGAGTGAAAGAGTGGAAGATGATCTCTCTCTGACTCTCCCTCTCTCTCTATAACTCTTTCAAATAAATAAATAAATCTTTTTTAAAAAAGAGAATTTGCATGTATTTAAGAAAACATCAACCATGTGCTCAGTGGGAAAGAAACAGGATGAGATAGAGACAGAGACAGAGACGGAGATAGAGATAGAGATAGAGATAGAGATAGAGATAGAGATAGAGATAGACAGACTGAGGGAGGGAGGGAGGAAGGGAGAGAGGGAAAAGAGGGTATCCTACACTTACAAATATGCAGGTGACATTTCTGAAGTTCAAAGACAAAGAGGAGGGGACAGCGCTGTGGTGTAGCGGGTAAAGCCGCAGCCTGCAATGCTGGCATACCAGATGGGCGCCAGTTTGAGTCCCGGCTGCTCCTCTTCCAATCCAGCTCTCTGCTATGGCCTGGGAAAGCAGTAGAAGATGGCCCAAGTCCTTGGGCCCCTGCACCCATGTGGGAGACCTGGAAGAAGCTGCTGGCCCCTGGCTCCTGGCTCCTGGCTTCAGATCGGCACAGCTCCGGCATTGTGGCCATTTGTAGAGTGAACCAGCGGATGGAAGACCCCCCTTCCCCACTGCCTCTCTGTAACTCTGCCTTTCAAATAAAGAAATAAATCTTAAAAAAAATTAAAGTAGTGAAAAATAAGTGAAATTGCTTGTAATGTGGTTCTTAAGAAATAGTTCTTAAGAAAAAGGAGGCTCTCTCTCTCTCTTTTTCTCCAACTCTGCCTTTTAAATAAATAAATAAATAAATCATTAAAAAGGGAAGCCTAATGTAAAAATTAATATTCTGGAGCTCAAATTCTGGACAATGGAGGTAAAATCTGGAAGGTGATAAAGGAAGGAGACGGTGAAGGTGCTGAAAGAATTGCTCTGTGTAGAGGGTGGCCATGCCCACTACTTGTCCAAGTGCTAAGAAAAGTCGGAGCAAAGACAAAGAGGAGGGGCCAGTGCTGTGGCGCAGCAGGTTAAAGCCCTGGCCTGAAGTGCCAATATCCCATGTGGGTGCCAGTCCTAGTCCTGGCTGCTCCTCTTCCAGTGGTTAAGGCACTGCTCGTTGGAGCAAGCATGGTGATGCATCAAATTGGCTGCTGCCTGCAATGCTGGCATCCCTCATGGGCACTGGTTCATGTCCTTGCTGCTCTACTTCCCATCCAGCTCCCTGCTAATGAGCCTGGGAAATCAGCAGAGGATAGCCCAAGTGCTTGGGCCCCTGCTACCTGTGGGACTCTCTCTCTGTGTCTCTTCTCTCTCTGTGTAACTCTGTAGTTCAAGTAAATGAATAAATCTTTTTAAAAAATGACTTCTGATTAATTTTTAAAAACCACTCGCAATGCCCACATCCCATATTGGAATGCCTGGGTTTGAGTACTGGCTTTGTCCTTGGTTCTCCCTTGCTGCTGATGCTAACCTTGAGAGCCATCAGGTAATGGTTCCCATAGCTGGGTCTCTGCCTCCCACACGGATGGCTTGGGTTGAGTTCCTGGCTCCCTGGCCATGTGGACACTTGGAGAGTAAACCAGCAGATAGGAACTATCTCTCAAATAAGTAAAATTAAAAGTTTGAGTATGTTTTATTAACAACTTTAATAGATATAGATGCAGTTTTTTGTCTGTTTTAAAGACTGATTGATTGGTTTGAAAGGCAGAGTTACAGAGAGAGAGAAAGATATCCCATTTGCTGGTTCATTTCCCAGGTGACTACAATAGCCAGGGGTGGATCAGGCCAAAGCCAGGAGCTTCTTCCCCGTCTTCCATGTGCATAGCAAGGACCAGATCTTGGGCCATCTTCTGCTGCTTTTCCTAGGCCATTAGTGGAGAGCTGTATTGGAAGTGAAGCTGTACTGGGATTTGAACCAGTGCCCATATGAGATGCAAACATGGCAGGCATTGGTTTTACCCTCTGCAGCACAATGCCAGCCCCAGATGCATAGTTTGCAAACTATTAAAGGAAAAGAAAGGAGAGACAAACTAAGTCAAGGATGAATAAAAAGAGAAAGAACAAGAAATGTCCCATGGAAAACACAAAGCTAAGTGGCATGAGTAAGGTCAGGCACATCTGTGGTAATAATATACAAGGGTACTTCAAAAGTTGTGGAAAACAGAATTCAAAGAGAAGTTCGTTTATGCACAAAAACATTTAAAAATTCCTGCATACAAGAGACCTTCAAAAATTCCATGGACAATTCATATTGTGAAAAAAAAAAAACATGCACAGATTTCAAATTTTTTTGCAGCAAAACAAGTATCTGGCCGGCGCCGCGGCTCAATAGGCTAATCCTCCGCCTAGTGGCGCTGGCACACCGGATTCTAGTCCCAGTCAGGGTGCCGGATTCTGTCCCGGTTGCCCCTCTTCCAGTCCAGCTCTCTGCTGTGGCCAGGGAGTGCAGTGGAGGATGGCCCAAGTCCTTGGGCCCTGCACCCCATGGGAGACCAGGAAAAGCACCTGGCTCCTGCCATTGGATCAGCGCGGTGCGCCGGCCGTGGCGGCCATTGGAGGGTGAACCAACGGCAAAGGAAGACCTTTCTCTCTGTCTCTCTCTCTCACTGTCCACTCTGCCTGTCAAAAAAAAAAAAAAAAGTATCTTTTAATTCTATTTTCCATGAACTTTTTGAAGCGCCCTCTTCCGTGAATGGATTATGTGGATAAAACGGGTTTCAGAAAGTGCTAGCTGCAAACTGTTTGCAAGAACTGGGCCTGAAACAACGTTGCTTACATTCAGGAAGGGTTTGGCCATGGCTGCAGCAGCAAATTGGAGAGACTCTCACAAAGAAATGAGCGACTTCTGAGGCCCTGATCTGATTATTACACTGAAATGTCACACTCACCCCATAACGATGGACCATTATAGTATATCAATTCCAATAAAAATATATTTTAAAAATTGGTGCTAGAGTTCATCCGTAGTTCAACTGTATTGGAAGAATAATACAACACAGCTAATATGTTTACAGAGCATTGCAAAGTAAATGCTGGTTGGATTTTTTATCATTAAAAAAATAGAAATTGAAAAGACTTTCCCTCGTGAGTCATAAGGGATGGTGAGGAGTAGGGGTGTAAGGGCCACTGGTGCAAACAAGGGTAAGCCCTGGGGAAAGCCCTAATGAGATATCATTGGTGACAGCAAACCCATAATCAGGGAGGATTTAGTGCCTCGATTTCCTGGGAGATGACATGGACACTCCTGAAAGCCCTTCTGGATGCTGGTGACTGCTTCTGTTGACGTCCTTGTGATGTGACCTTAAAGCAGGTCATCTTCACAGTAGGTTCTAGGGAGCCTCAACAATGCTACAGATACCACCCGCCTGAGAGGCCTCCCACACAAGCAAGGCCGCTTTCAGCGAATGCCACATTGGGGGGGGCATTACTTGCCCAGTCGCACCCTGGAGTCTTTGTGGTAACAAGCAAGCTGTGCCAAGGGTTGTGCCAGTGCAGTTCTGTAAACCACGCTGGCATTTGTCCGGCTACATTGCTAGCAAGCATGACAAAGTCCCAGTTTGCAAGTCAAACAAAACTACCCAGGAGACCAGGGGACGAGAGAGATCTAGGCCTTGCCCACGCACACGGCCGGAGTGGGAGACCTCCTTTTTATTCTCACTGCACCCCCATGGTCAGGCCTGCTACTTCCTGGGATCAAGAGCCCACCAGCCAGCAGCAGCTTCTAGGATGTTTGAGCTTGTGAACTTGGACCTGGACCCGTTACTGATCCCTGAATGCCTGGGGAAGCTAAGGCAGCGGCCTTTCCTTAAAACCAACTTACTGGCCGGCATCCCGGCTCACTAGGCTAATCCTCCGCCTGCGGCGCTGGCACCCTGGGTTTTAGTCCCGGTTGGGGCACTGGACGCTGTCCCGGTTGCTCCTCTTCCAGTCCAGCTCTCTGCTGTGGCCCAGGAAGGCAGTGGAGGATGGCCCAAGTGCTTGGGCCCTGCACCCGCATGGGAGACCAGGAGGGGGCACCTGGCTCCTGGTTTTGCATCAGCGCAGTGTGCCAGCCTTAGCAGCCATTTTGGGGGTGAACCAACAGAAGGAAGACCTTTCTCTCTGTCTCTCTCTCTCTCTCACTGTCTAACTCTGCCTGTCAAAAAAGAAAAAAAAAAAGCGCAACTTACTGTAACAGCATCCAGGAGCCAACTTAAGTAAACTCCCCTGTACCAAGCCTCCTCCCATCAAGCGCCAATCAGTTTCCACCAAGACTCACACTCATGGCTCTTGGAATAAGCACGTGCATTTGGATTCAGTCTACTCGGGCATGCTAGCTAGACGTCAGTTCTAGGCTGTAGTTTTGTCTCTGAGCTACATCTTTTAAACTGTGCTGTAGACTTACTCCTAAGGGTAACTGTTCAGCCACATCTTCAAAGCAGGGGTAAAAATCAGAACAGAGCCAGTGATGGACACTATCAGAAAGAGCCACAGGAAGATTCTGTCAAGAACTTGAGCCACAAATTTCCAGTCTTGTACCACCTGCAAAAGAGAAAAAGATGTGTTGCGTCTCAAGAAGATGGGGAAAGTGTTTCATTCCAACAGCTTTAAAATGAGTAATTTTGGCCAGCACTGTGGCTCACTTGGCTAATCCTCCACCTGCGGTGCCAGCACCCCAGGTTCTAGTCTCGGTTGGGGCACTGGACTCTGTCCCGGTTGCTCCTCTTCCAAGCCAGCTCTCTGCTGTGGCCTGGGAGTGCAGTGGAGGATGGCCCAAGTCCTTGGGCCCTGCACCCGCATGGGAGACCAGGAGGGGGCACCTGGCTCCTGGCTTCGGATCAGCACAGCGCCGGCCATAGCGGCCATTTTGGGGGTGAACCAATGGAAGGAAGACCTTTCTCTCTGTCTCTGTCTCTCTCTCTCTCACTGTCTAACTCTGCCTGTCAAAAAAAAATTAAAATGAGTAATTTTCAGATGTACAGCACTGAAATTTTCAAAAGGCACCTAACACATCATCCACAATACACAGGGTACTTCAAAAGGTTCATGGAAAATGGAATTAGAAGATAGGTTCATTTTGGTGAAACAAAAATACTGTTTAAATCCATGCATAGCATTTTGCATAATATGAACTTTTTGGGAATCTTATATGTGTGGATTTCCAATGTTCTGCATCAAAATAAGCTTATCTTTTCATCCCGTGGTCCTGCACTTTCCAAAGTGCCCTCGGAGGCTGATTTTTTCCCAGTGACTTCACTAACAGTGCCCTAAGAAAGCACTGTCAGTCTGGAGTAGAACACTTTCCTCAACATTGAAGCAAAATAGAAACATTACTGACCCAAATGGATAAAACCTGATCTCCACGCAAATAAAAAGCTATATATCTCACTGTGTGCTTCCTGATATACACATGAAATTAGTTGCAAATGTGTAACCACCAGCCTTCTGACCTTGCATTCTACCCATGGGCACAGCTGCTACAGCTGTAGAAGAGTGGACAGTGCCGAGGGCGGACCAAGGTGAAGACGAGAATCCACCCCACTGGGAAAGGACCCATGAAGGTCGGAGGTGAGAATTAACATTCATCGGCTGCTTGCACAACCCCAAAGCCACAACCACATTTGTTGGGCACCGGATTTCCATTTTATATTTTATGTCACTCATTCCTCACCAGGAGAATCCTTTGAGGCAGGCTTCAGAAAACTGAAGCTCAGGTTAAGCAGGTGCTTGTCTCAGGTCACCTAGGAAAGGGTAAGGTCTGAACCTAGTGCTGCTTCAAGTCTGAAATCTGCACCCTTCCACCTTAAAAAAATGTTGAAAGCTAAAGAACTGCAGCCTCTTCCTTCAGCAAAACGTATGCTATGTACACTGGATTTTTATTTTATCTTTTTGGTCTTTTTAGTTCTCAGTACCATGAATGAAAATACCTAGAAACCCCATTCAAATGAGATATGCATTACTAAGACCAGATTGACCAACCTGCCATGTGTAATTGAACTATTTTTAACGGAATTGGGACTAATTATGGAGGAGAGAGCTTGATCTACTATTGTTTTCACTTCTGCTCATTATGCTTTTGTGAACTCCCTCCCAAAAGTTCATACCAGAGTTCCTCCCTTATGCCAGGGCCCATTTGGTGTAAAGCGGCCCGGCGACAATGTCCCAGCATTCCGGGGTAAGCAGCAGGAGTGTGGAGACCGTGTTCTCACCTGGCTAATGAAATGTTCCTTCTTCACATGCCTTGAAATGTACCTGATGGAATCCGCGGTCTTTTCCAAGAAGGCAACCAGAACTTTCTCTCCATCGCTAATCTCCTTCTGCTTCTTTTTGTGTAGGACTCGCCCTCTCACTGCGGGTTTGCTCTCCTCTTTAGCAGGGAAGGAGTAGCGATCCACCTGGTTCTGCATGCAAAGCAATTTAGGAAGCTTTTGCAGAAATAAGCTCTTCACCCAGGGCGCCATGGGGTGGTAGGTGGACGAGGATCGGTGGTGGACGTTGATCACAAAAACAGTCACGATAATGGACAGGGTCACAAAAATCATAATGAAAAGCAGGTACTCGCCAATGAGGGGGATGACCTTCGATGAAGACGGGATGATTTCCTCAATGACTAAAAGGAAGACCGTCAGCGAGACCAAAACCGATGTGGACAGAGAGAGTTTCTCCCCTTCATCAGAAGGCAAATAGAAGACAAGGACCGTTAGGAAGGACAGTCCGAGGCAGGGGATTATCAGAAAGAGGGTATAAAACAAGGGCAGGCGTCTCAGGACAAAGGAGTAGGTGATGAAAGGGTAGGAATACAGACCGGCCTTTCTGTTTCCCTTCATGCCCTTGGCGTTCAGTATCTCCCATTCTCCGTTATCAAAGAAGTCCTTCCTGTCCACCTGTTCATCGATCAGAATGAGGTCCACCATGGTGCCGTCGTAGGTCCAGGACCCGAACTTCATGGAGCAGTTCTGCCGGTCAAAGGGGAAAAAGGTGACATCCATGGTGCAGGAACTTTTGTAGCTGGCGGGCGGGGTCCACACGACGGTCCCGTTAGCGTTCACGATGACCTTGGTCATGAGGGAGCCTTCAAAACGCCCATCAGCGCTGTGAGGAAAAAACAATTGCCCTGAGCTGCTGAGCTGAGTCCCGACTGGCTTTGGGTTTCTGCCCACCACCATACTCTCCCTATTTTATTATTTCCACCTACGATGTCAAAGAAGATTTTAACAGAAATCATAATTACATTTTGCATAAAGTTGCACATTTCTCACCATTGTTTTGCCCACACGATGCTTATATGACTGATACAGTTTTTTTCTGCGGTACTTACTTTTCAAAGAGAACTATGTCAGGAAGCCAGAGAGATTCTGATGGAACTTTAATGGAGTGGATTCCACCATATTCCTCAGGATTCCAGCGTAACTTGTGGTCTGTCCATTCCTGCATGAAATTAGCATATGACAATTTTATTCTGAACATTCAGTGGATTTACTAAGCTGTCTTGTTAAGAGAGAGAAATTCCTCCAGGTTAGACCTTGTGACCCTACCTGGGGCCTTCACAGTACAACTTGAGCCAGCCTGACCTGTAATCCACCCAGGCTTACACACCTGCCTGTTGGGGATTTCCAAAATGGCTCTATTTACCTCACAATGAAGAAGTAGAGCAAAAAACGCCATGGATGAATGATCTGTCTTTTCAGTCTATTTCCTCCTGAGAACCAAACAAAGAACAAGCAAGATAGATCTAATCCAGTTTACCCAAGGAGGGTTGGTGCAGTGGTATTTTAGCCTCAGGATAGTGGGTAGAAATGGTTCTGAAACTCTCCCACGAGTCTTGGACAAACAGCCACCCAGGATGGTAATGTGGAGCATCCAGTATCTGCTGCCTCGTCTCGATGACATTAGAATTTTATCCAATGAAAAAGATATATGCTAAGAGCTCCCATCCAAATTCTAATCTGAATTTATGTTGTCAGCTCCCAATTAGTTTTAAATTATATTACTAGTATTGTTAGCTTCCAGATACATACACATTGTTCTTCATGAGGATGGAATTATTCGGCAAATTTTATAGGGGCTGATGGATCCAGATTAATAAGCCTGATCAGCAACTGATTAGATTATGAAGGTGGAGAGGATGATGTATGGATGACCCAGTTATGGTAGAAATGATTTTGGATCCAGAATCTTATGAAATCTTTTATCCCACTCTCCCTGAGTGATGACGTAGGACAATGTTGGGTGGTATTTCGGAAAGTTGGAAGTGGGCGTCTCCCCTGAGGTTTCCAGGGCTCAGAGACATCAGCTGTGTCACTAAAAGCCAGAAATCAGCAGATGGCTGGTTTCCCTGGAGGAAAAAAATCTGGAACTGTGTATGATGCCCGAAGAAGGATGGCACTACACACCCCAGATGAGACATTGTCTGTCTCAGCCAGTGTTTGTGAGACTTAAGCCTTGGAAAACAAATGGTAAAAGACAGGAGCCTTCCAACAGCTTGAATCTAAGCATAAAAAGATTGCATGACTGTTTATGGAAAATCAGTCTGAGGAAGGCTGACAATCTAAGAGCCAATCTAATAAAGTATTGAGCACATTTTCCAGTCTCGTGGGCTCCTCTGTTGCCCATTTTGGAAAGCAAATACAATTTCCTCCCTGTGAAGACCATGTCTCCTGCTAAGGAGACTCTTACTATCATCAGCTAAGACTAAGTTTCAGAAGTGTTGGAGACAACATAGCATTTTGTGTTGGTTTCACTTCCTCTTCATTCACTTTTGAGTAGTTTGCTTGCAATGGCAATACCCTCTTTTGTGCACAGATCATGCAGTTACAGAGTCACTGCCCCCATTAAGAAGCCAGAACAGGGGCCAGCACTGTGGCATAGTGGGTAAAGCCACCACCTATGGTGCTGGCTTCCCACATGGGCGCCAGTTCAAGTTCCGGCTGCTCTGCTTCTGATCCAGCTCCCTGCTAATGCACTTGGGAAAGCAGTGGAAGATGGCTCAAGTCCATGGGCCCCTGCACCATGTGGAAGACCCAGAAGAAGCTCCTGGCCCCTGGCTTCGGATTGGCTGTTACAGCCATTTGGGAGAGTGAATCAGCAGATGGAAGATCTCTATCTTTCTCTCTTTATGTGTATAACTCTGCCTTTCAAATAAAAAATAAATAAGTCTTAAAAAAATAATAGAAGCCAGGAGCCAGCACTCTGGCACAGCAGATGCCCTGGCCTGAAGTGCCGGCGTCCCATATGAGCGCCGGTTCTAATCCCGGCTGCTCCTCTTCTGATCCAGCTCTCTGCTATGGCCTGGAATAGCAGTAGAAGATGGCCCAAGTCTTTGGGCCCCTGCACCCATGTGGGAGACCTAGAAGAAGCTCCTGGCTCCTGGCTTTGGAGTGGTGCAGCTCTGGCCATTGTGGTCTTCTGGGGAGTAAACCAGCAGATGGAAGTTCGCTCTCTCTCTGTCTCTACCTCTCTCTGTAACTGTCTTTCAAATAAATAAATCTTTTTTTTTTTTTTAAGTCAGAACAACTTTGTTGCCTACAAAATTTTCCTCATGGTGCCCCCTTGTAATTGGCCCCTTTCACGTCTCCTACTCTTGGCAATCACTGATTTATTTTCTGTTCCTATAACATTGCCTTTTCCAGAACGCCACATGAATGAAATCATAAGGTGGTGCAGTATTTGCTCTTGACATAATTTACTTAGCAACATATTTGGATTCTTCCACGTTGTCTGATCATGCATTTTTTTTTTTATAGGCAGAGTGGACAGTGAGAGAGAAAAAGACAGAGAGAAAGGTCTTCCTTTGCCGTTGGTTCACCTTCCAATGGCCGCCACAGCCGGCACGCTGCGGCCGGCGCACCGTGCTGATCCGATGGCAGGAGCCAGGTGCTTCTCCTGGTCTCCCATGGGGTGCAGGGCCCAAGCACTTTTCCATCCTCCACTGCACTCCTGGGCCACAGCAGAGAGCTGGCCTGGAAGAGGGGCAACCGGGACAGAATCTGGCACCCCGTCCGGGACTAGAACCCGGTGTGCCGGCGCAGCTAGGTGGAGGATTATCCTAGTGAGCTGCGGCGTCAGCCAATCATTCACCTTTATCAGTGAGTATATTCCATTGTCTGAAGGTACCACAATTTGCATGTCTATTCACTCGTTAGGCTATTTGAATTCTTTGAAGTTTGGTGTAGAGTTTTTTTTGGGGGGAGGGGGGAATGTGAAATGAATTCTAATTCTCTTAAGTAGCAGTGGGGTGGCTGGGTCATACCAGCATAGCTGATACATGTTTAACTTTGTAGAAAACTGCCTGACTGAATCATTTGGCAACATGTGAGAGTTCTAGTTGTTTGTGTTTTCTCCAACACTTAGTATTCTCACTTTTTTTATTTTAACTACCTGATAACAGATATGAAGTAGATTTCATTACAGCCTTTAAAATGCATTTTCCTAATGATTATTCATGCATATTTTTATTTGACATTTGTGTGTATCTTTTATTTAAAGGGTTTATTTATTTACTTGAAAGGCAGGGTTAGAAAGAGAGAGAGAGAGAGAGACTCTTTTATCCGATGGCTCACTCCCCAGATTGCCTCAATGAACAGATATGCACCAATCTGAAGCCAGGAGCTTCTTCCAAGTCTCCCACATGGGGGCAGGGGCCCAAGGACCTGGGCCATCTTCAGCTGCCTTCCCAGGCCATAGCAGAGAGCTGGATCAGAAGTGGAGCATCCAGGACCCAAACCAGCGCCCCAACTGGACACCAGCACCGTAGGTGGCGGCCCCACCCACCGCTCCACAGCACTGGCCCCCATATATATCTTAGTGTCAGTTAAATCCCTGGCATATTTTTCAGTCAGGTTGTTTACTTTCTTAGAGTTCTTTATACAATCTGGATACAAGCCCTTTGTCAAAGATTCAATTTACAAATATTTCTCCTTGACATGTCTGTTTTTATAAATTCCCTTAACAGCATCGTTCACAAATTCCAACAGTTCATTTTATCAATTTTATCTTTTTAAAGATTTTTAAACATTTATTTGAAGGGCAGAGTGACAGGGCGGGGGGACAGAGAGAAAGAGAGAGAGAGAGAGAGAGAGGGAGAGAGAGAGAGAGAGAGAGATCTTCCATCTGCAGATTCACTCCCCGATGGCTTCAAGGGCTGCAGCTGGCCCAGGTTGAGGCTGGGAGCCTAGAACTCCATCCGGGTCTCCTTCGTCTACCTAGGAAAGCAGCTGGATGGGAACTGGGGCAGCTGGGACTTGAATCTGCAGCTTGATGTGGGATGCCAGGGTTGCAAGCAGCAGCTTAACCTGCTATGCCACAATACTGGCTACTTCTGGTTTTATGGAATGCGTCCTAAGAAATCTTTGCCTATCCTGCAGTCACAATAATTTCTTCACATATCTTATTCTAGAAATTTTTAAATTTGAATTTTACTTTTATTAGGCTAAGATCCATTTTAAATTAATTTTTTATGAAGGTGCAAGTATGGATTAAAGTACTTTTTTTTTTATATATGGGTGTCCAACTGTTCCAGCACCTTTTGGAGAAAATACTGGACATTTTCCATTGAGCTGCTCTTGCACATTCTTCAAAGATGAGTTAACCACACTTGTGTGGTGATCCACTTCTGGCCTCTGCTCTGTTCCATTTGTCTATGTGTGTAGGTCTTTCCAATACCACACCATGTTGATCGGCATAGCTGTATGGTTTATTTTGAAATCCAGTAATTTGAGTCCTCCAATTATGTTCTGCTTTTTCAAAACTCTTCTGCTTATTCTGGTTCCTTTGCATTTCCAGGCATTTTTTTTTTCCAAAAATTGTTTATTCATTTACTTAAAGGCGGGATGGGGGGACAAGGCAGGAAAGAGAGAGACGCAGAGAAAGAGAGAGAACTTCCATCCGCTGCTTTACTCCCCAAATGCCCACAACAGCCAGGGCTCAGACGGGCCAAAGCCAGGAGCCAGGCACTCCCCCCAGGTCTCCCACGCGGGGCACAGGCACACAAGTACTTGAGCCATTGTCTGCTGCCTCCCGGAATGCACTTCAGGGGGAAGCTGGTTGGGAAGCAGAGCTGGAGCTCCGACCCTCAGACTCCAGCATGGGATGTAAACATCCCAAGTGGCATCTCAACCATTGCACCAAACGCCCACCCCTATAAACGTGTTGCTCTCTGCAAAAAAACAAACAAAATACAACCCACTAAGATTCTAATTGTGACCAACTGAAACATATAGATCAGTTTGGGGAGAGCCCATATCATAATGTTCAATCTTCTGACCCAGGAATATCCTTTATGTCTGCTTTTATTTAGATCTTTGATTTTCTTTTGTCAGTGCTTTGTACTTTTTCAGCTTATAAATCAATACATTTTTACGTCCATGCCTAGGGGCCTGGCGTTGTGGCAGAGAGGGTAAAGCTGTTGCCTGTGACACTGGAATCCCATA